TGATCCACTTGAGGGGCCTATTTCCCCTTCCCCAGAGCTACTGCCTGCATGAAAACTCCCCCTTCTCTGGAGGGTGAAAGACCATCAGCAGTAAGCCCAAAGATAGGTGGTAGAGCTTTGACATGAACATTTTTTCCTCCCCTTGTTTTAAAAATATTTATTTATTTTTCCTAAATAAAAATTGTATATTTTTAAGAAATGTGATGTTTTGATATATGTATATATACAGTGAAATGGTTACCACAAACTAATTAACATGTCTATCACCTCCCATGGTTATCGTGTGTGTGTGTGTGTGTGTGTGTGTGTGTGTGTGTTGAGAACATTTGAGATCTATTCTTTGAGCGAATTTCAATTATATAATACATTATTATTAACTATAGTCACCATGCTGTACTTCGAGTTTCCGGAACTTATTCATCTTATAACTGAAAGTTTGTACCCTTTGATCAATATTTCCACTTTGCCCTACCCCCTCCCTGAAGCTTCTAATAACCACCATTTACTCTCTGTTACTATCATTTGACTCTTTTTAGATGCCACATATAGCGAGATCCCGCAATATTTGTCTTTCTATGTCTGGCTTGCACTTAGCATAATGTCCTCCAGGTTTACTCGTGTTGCCGCAAACAGCAGGACTTCTTTCCTTTCCTGAATACTATTAACACACACCGCACCTTTTCTTTATCCAGTCATCTGTCAACAGACGAGTTGTTTTCACATCTGGGCTATTGTGACTAATGCTGCAGGGAACACGGGAGTGCAGATACCTCTTTCAGATAGTGATTATATTTCTTACAGATATATACCCAAAGTGGTATTGCTGGATCACTTGGGAGCTCTGTTTTTGATTTTTTGAGGAACCTCCATCCTATTTCCACAGAGTCCAATTTACTTTCCCACCAACAGTGCACAAGGGCGGGTTCCCTTTTCTCCACATTCTGGGAGGAAGACAAGCAGCCCCATAAGGATGGGGCTGCCAGGCAAATCCACTGTGGGCTCCATGTCCTCCAAGGAAGCACACCCCATTCCTGCCTTCTGTACTCAACACAACTTCAGGGTTGTGAAGCCGCTTCCAGCATGGTTGGCATCCAGCCCCAAAGAGTATCCATGACTACAGCTAAGAAGGTGTTGAGCCAACTTTAATACTAATGAGCAGTGTAGTAATGGCCTTGCAATGCTTGGCACATCGACCACTTTCTCTTCATCTCTTAGCACAAAATACACTTACTAATTATAAACTAAATGATCTGTTTTATTATTTAACAAAAGTACTAAGTGCAATGCGTTATGCCTGACTTTTTGCTGATAATCATTCTTGGGTGTGTTTTTCAATAGGGAGCCAACACTCAAGTCATACAAACTCTAGAGACTGTCATTCCACTTTAGGGGAAAAAAACCCAAAAAGCAAAACAGAGAAGAAAAAAGAAAAAAAGAAGAGCAAGACATTTCAATTATTCCTTGACTTCCTTAGAAGGACGTCTCTATTTTTGTTTCACTCCCTTTAGTTTAGAGGCTACAGTGCATACTGTGAGTGGCTCTAAATTGCCAGGAAGAGCCTTGCCCATAGGGAGTCAGGATTTTGGGGTAGAACTGCACAACTGGACAACTAGATACCAGAGGTGGGTTTGGCCTAAACTGACCAAGTAGGGGAGTGGGAAGGGCAGCAGTATGTATCTGGAACTTTCATAGTCCAAGAAAGAGCTTTCAGATTCAGCCATGAAAGCCCCCTGAGAAGCACAGAGACTGGCGAGGAAGTGTAGAGGTGGGCCAAGTGTGAAAAAGGCTGGGACAAACCAGAAGTTGATTTGAATTTGGTGACAAGATAATGTTGAGGTTTAAAAATTTCCAAGGCACTAATCAAATGCTTTTTTTTTTTTAAAGATTTTATTTATTTGACAGAGAGAGAGAGAGCGCGCGAGCGAGCGAGCACACAAGTAGGTAGAGCGGCAGGCAGAGGGAGAAAGAGTCTGATGTGGGGCTCGATCCCAGGACCCTGGGATCATGACCTGAGCTGAAGGCAGATGCCTAACCGACTGAACCACCCGGGTGCAAATGTTTTTTTCTTACATCCTATAAAGCAAATGCCGATTAGTTCCAAGCAGCTACTTTCCATGGTAATGTTTGGGATGTTTGCTTGTTCACGACTTGATTCAAATTCTAAAGTCATTCACTAAGCTAAGTGGGACAGTGACTGTACAGGCTGCAAGGACATTTTAGTGTGGACACAAGGAGAGGAAAATAATGCTTAGCATTTGGGGCCACAGGAGGTGCTCTGAGCAGAAGGAGTGGGCTCTTGGAAGGAGGCCTCAGAAACAATTACAGTCCCATAAAGGAAAATACCAATGTAGCTGGCTTGCATGTCCCATCAGCAAGATACTGAAGCTGGGTTACTGACAATATGAATTCATGTTTCATAGGAAGGGAAAAAATCTGGTTATACCTGAAGGCTTCAGGTACCTGAGCATCAGGTTTTAACAGTTTGGAAATGTAGATCATTTTATATGACTAGGGAGAAAGAAAATCAACAGATTGTATATTCCCACTTAGCTAGAACACAAACAATCAAAAAGGCCAAACAGCAGATTTTTGTGTGATGTCTATACAAAGTGCCTCTTGCTTTAAAGAGTCCCTAATGCTGGCGTGTCTGGGTGGTTCAGTTGGGTGAGTGTCTGTCTCTTGATTTTGGCTCAGGTCATGATCTCAGGGTCTGAGGTCAAGCTCCTGAGTAGGGCTCTATGCTCAGTGGGGCGTCTGCTTGAGATTCCCTCTGTACTCTCTCTCTCTCCCTCTCAAATAAATAAATAAATCTTTAAAAAAATAATGAAGAGTCCCAGTGCCAAGGAAATAAGTTTTTATCAGGGATTTGATCTAAAGAAACTTCTAGTTATGCCATATGCATTTATATTGGGATTTCCTTTAAGTTTTACTGCCTTGGTATTGTATTATGATAAATAGTTTGAGGAATTCAGAGTTTAAGGGGTTTTTATGGATAGAAACTGGGACTCAGAGGTGGGATAAGTGGCTAGATTAGGATCCCAGAGCTAACCGGGGGCAGACCAGGGCTTAGGGCACGTGGTCCAGCAAGTCTCAAGACGCGGCCAATGGTCTCTGAAGAGAGACTAAATTACATAAGATATGATTTTCATTTTAAATATATTTTAAAATAACCTATTTTTTTAATCAGTAAAAAACATATAAATGAAATAGCTATCAAACAATACAGATAATAAATGAACTATAAGCTCCATCCTCTCCCCAAGATCTTTCTGGATAATTGGAAGTTTTCCAAATATTTCCAGAGAATTCCCAAGTTGGAGTAAGTTACAAAGGCGTTCTTGCTGCCCATCTAGAGAAGAAAGGATCTTATATTTGATGAATACCAACTACGGGACAGAGACCATGCTGAGAACTTCTATGCTCATGGTCTCACCTAGTGATGGGTTAAATATTCGCTCACTGATGTGCATGAGGAAAATCCAACTCAGGATCACACCACAGCTGCCATTCCTTGGCCTTCCCACATTAGTTGGTACATAAGCTTCCCTCCCTACAACCAGCCCTGACGACATTATCTGCAACCAATTTCTCCTTTTGCCTCTGGTATTGGGGTCTTTCTAGTTCTCTAATTCCTAGGGGGGTGAGAAGTAGTACTGGAGCCTTTCAGGTGGGTACATACAAAAGAAGAACGTGAACTTGTTGAGTGCTTATGCCGTCCTCACTCTTAGCTGGCCACTCTCTGGTTCTGCAGGGCCAAAAGCAGATGTTGTTTAACAAGGGACTGGATCTGGTGACCCTCCCTGACACCTGTGCCTTGTTTGCATTTTTTGTTTTTTACGTTGAATTTGGATGCCTTTCTGTGGAGCAGGCACTTGCCCCACCACATCCTAGTGTCTCACACACATCCTGCTTTATTTATTTATATCATTTGCTAAGCCTCCAGAAGCATTTGTGTTGTGACCCCCGGGGATTTAATGCTAGCTATACTCATTAGCACCTCCCATCAGAGTCATGGGGTCTCTGGTATCTTTCAGAGTTGTTGTGACAAGCTTCTCAGTTGCTGTGGGTCACCGCACAACTTCTGGGGCTCCTGCTGCCTAGACGATGGATTTGAGTTGTACCTCTGGGAACTATGGAGTACACAGCCTGCACAACTGTTGGGGGTGGTCCTAGTGTTATACACTGTAGAGCTGCACAGCGAAAACTTCTGGACCTTAACCCAAAGTGTAAGGCTGCTCAGCGTTACCCTTGGTCTCATGTAAAAGAAAGGGAGCAAAGAGGATGGAAATAGAGGAATTGTGTACACAGTTCAAAGGGTGACCAATTTCATGTTTTATCATTATGAACCCCATCTTTTAAGTTCTTGCAGCTTAGGCCATCCTCCCGAATAATGTCAGCTCTCAACAGAACGGGTCCGGCTACCAGCATCCCTACAGTAGCAGATATCACTGTACTCACTAAAGTAATTAAGAAACATGAGTAGGGTCTTTTCAACAGCAAGTGAGGACAGCAAGTTTGCACTTCTTAGAATCCTACTGTATTAACCGTGAAAATTACTGATTGCTTTTACTTTTCCCCCAAGCCAGGAAGGTGCTGTGAATACTCTCATTCTTTTACTCTCAAGGGAAATCAAGGGCTCCTTCACCCATCTGAAAGAGAAAAATCATAGCCACGGTCCCAGTGACTCAGATCCCACATCTAGGACTGTGACAAACTTGGGCTGTCCTACTCAAAACCTGAAGAGTAAGTGAACTAGAAACTACGAGTGGCTGGGAGCCACAGGTGAGGTGAGATTCCCTGACAGAAAGATGCTCCGTTCAGATTCATGCGTCCGAGAGTTTAAGTGCATCAAATAGAAACTGGCTATGCCGCAAACCTAACAGTGGTGGGGATCTGGACATCAGCCCCTGAGCAGGAATGGGGCCCAGGGTCCACCTTCTACCTCCTATTTAGCCGGCTGTCTACACAAGCAACCACACGAACAGACCAAATGACTGTACCTCCTCGGGCAAGCTGACCACCAAGTCATTTTTCGTTTGTCCAACCAGCGCCTGCCAGAAGTATTCACTGCACGCGGCCAGCACAGCCCGGTGGGCCCGGAACTCCTTCCTTTCCACGATCAGAGTCACGTCACAGAGAATATCCTTTTTCCGCTGGTCATTGAGGCCCAGGAGGATGTTGGTGCAGTGGACTGTGGACTCATACACATACATGGGGGAGTCAGGCTTCTCATCCACAGACATGCCGTTCACACCCTGAAAGAAAGAAAGAAAGGCAGGGTCACCAGGGCTACCTGCGTCAGATGTAGAAGGTGAGAAGAATGTCATAGTTCCTGTGTCTCACAGACAGGAGCCAGGCAAAAAGGAGAATGTCCATTAGCACATTCACGTTCAGCACAATGAGCTCAGAAAAGAATCTGGAAAGTCACGTTCAGTGGCTGATTTTTATCCTTCGCACTCACTGCACCCTTTCACCCCATGGAACCAAAGCCAGGCCTTTTAATAAAACACTCCAGAACATTTAAAACACATATACACTCTAAAACTTGGTAGTTTGGATTTTGCTACGCGACTGAAAACGGAACGTCCACATACACATGGTCCCAATTCAAGTATCGATTGAACTTGTGTTAAGGAGAAATGAATCATTTAGAAGTGTTTGCTATGCTCTCTTGACAAAGCACATGTAAGCTCCTAGACTGACGTTTGGCTAAGATTCCAAGCAGATAAATATCTAATCACAATACATCTTTGACCAAGTGAAGTAAACCGCATGTGTACTGAACGTCAGTAGAGTGAGCTACCACAACTGCCCTCTGCCACTTCAAGACAAAGCGCAACCAGTGGAATGCTGGTGTTGCTCAGGAAAAGCTCTTGAAAAGAAGTGGACTTGTGCTGCAATTATCCCAGCAGACTTCATATATATCCTCTTTAAGGAAACACAATATATCACATTAAGAGTCATAGAAAAGATGTATTCCACAGTGAAGACTACTTATACAAAAGGGTTCTTTGCTGCAAGAAGTATCCACTGATGTACTTGAGGAAGTCGTATCTGTAATTAATTTATATAACATAGTTTTTCAGAAATGTCTACTTCTACTAAAAATTCCAATCAAGTTTTGCTTTCCTTTTGGCTTCATTCTTATTTATTTTAATAACTTTAACCCACAATAAATTGTGTATAGTTAAAGTGGGTGGTTTGATACATTTGAGCATATGTATGCAACTACGAAACCATCATCACAATCAAGACAGGGAACTCTACATCACCAGAAGAATCTCTCTAGGCCCCTCTCTGTGCCCTCCCCTTCCCCCCAAAACCACAGGTCTGCTTTTTGACACTCTATATTAGTTTGTATTTTCTATATTTTATGTAAATGGATCCCTACAGATTATGTTCTTTTATGTCTGGCTTCTTTTTTTTTTTTTTTTAAGATTTTATTTATTTATTTGACAGACAGAGATCACAAGTAGGCAAAGAGGCAGGCAGGCAGGGGTGGGGGGGAGGAGGCTCCCTGTTGAGCAGAGATCCTGATGCAGGGCTCGATCCCAGGTCCCTGAGATCAAGACCTGAGCTGACGGCAGAGGCTTTAACCCACTGAGCCACCCAGGCTCCCCTATGTCTGGCTTCTTTTACTCAGTGTGGTTATTTTGCAATTCATCCAAGTTGCAAGCATCAAACAGTTGTTCCTTTAGTGCTGAGTAGCGTTCCATTGTATGGATACAGCACAAGTTTTAAACCATTCATCTACTGGAGGGTCTTTGGGTGTTTCCAATTGGGCTATTACAAATAAAGCTGCTATGAATTAGTGTATAAATCTCTGCATGAACATATGCTTTCATTTATCTTGTGTAAATTCCCAGGGGTAGAATGGATGGATCATTTGGTATGTGTAAGTCTAGCTTCTTCTTCTTTTTTTTTTTTTTTAAAGATTTTACTTATTTATTTGAAAGAGAGGCAGTGAGAGAGAGAGCATGAGCGAGGAGAAGGTCAGAGGGAGAAGCAGACTCCCCGTGGAGCTGGGAGCCCGATGCGGGACTCGATCCCGGGACTCCGAGATTATGACCTGAGCTGAAAGCAGTCGTCCAACCAACTGAGCCACCCAGGCGTCCCTAAGTCTAGCTTCTTGAGAGACTGTCCCTGTTTTCTCCAATGGTTGTAGCATTTCATGTTTCAGCAGCAGGGTATGAGAGTTCTAGCTCTTTCACATCCTTGCCACCAGTTGTTAAGCTCAGTCTCTCTAATTTTGGCCATTCTAATAAGTATACCATGGTATCTCTTTGTGGTTTTATTAATTTGCTTTTTTTCTAGTGACTGAAGATGCTGAACATCTTTCGTGTGCTTATTTGCCATCTATTACCTTCTTTGGAGAGATATGTATTCAGATTCTTTGTCCATTTCCTACTGGTCTGTTTCCTTATTACTGAGTTTTGAGCATCCTTTATATACTCCTTTATCAGATATGTGATTTGCCAGTATTTTCTCCAAGTCTGTAGCTTGTCTTTTCATTCTTTTTTTAAAAAATTATTTTTATTAACATATAATGTATTATTGCCCCAGGGGTACAGGTCTGTGAATCATCAGGCTTACACATTTCACAGCACCCACCATAACACATACCTTCCCCCAATGATCATAACCCAACCATCCTCTCCCAAACACCCCACCCCCAGCAACCCTCAGTTTGTTTTGTGAGATTAAGAGTCTCTTATGGTTTGTCTCCGTCCCGATCCCATCTTGTTTCATTTTTTCCTTCCTTACCCCACACAACCCCCCACTCTGCCTCTCAAATTCCTCATATGAGAGATATCATAATTGTCTTTCTCTGAGTGACTTATTTCACTCAACATAATACCCTCTAGTTCCATCCCCATGGTTGCAAATGGCAAGATTTCATTTCTTTTGATGGCCATCAACAGATGAATTCAACAGATGAATGGATAAAGAAGATGTGGTATATATATACAATGGAATACTATGCAGCTGCCTTTTCATTCTCTTAACAGTGTTTTTCAATGAGTGGAAAGTCTTCATCTGATGAAGACCAATCAAGCAATTCTTTCTTTTATGGATGATGCTTTTGGTGGCATATCTAAAAAAACTTTGCCTAAACCAAGGTCATACCTTTTTTTTTTAGATTTATACAGAGATATTACTATTTTAGAGTAATTATAAATGATTTTGCTTTTTAATTTAAATTTCTAATTTTTCATTGCCAGTATACAGTAATATAAATTGTTTTTGTGTATTGATCTTGTGTCCTGCAGTTTTTCCTAATTTGTTTATTAGTTCTCACAGTCTTCTTCTTTTTTTTTTTTTGGTAATAACAGATTTTCTAAAACATACATGCTGTCCGAATGAAGACATTTTACTTCCTTTCCAATCTGAAAGATTTTGGTGTCTTTTTCTTGCTTACTGCATTGGCTAGAACCACTAGTACAATGTTGAATGAAGTTGTAAGAAAAAATATCCTTGCCTTGTTCCTGTTGTTATGGGAACACTTCATCCTTTCACTGTTATTTATGATGATTGGTGTCAGTGCTTCATAGATACCCCTATTGAGTTGAAGAAATTTCTTTCTATTCCTAGTTTATTGGGAATTTCTTTTTTTAAAAATCAGGAATGGATGCTGGATTTTGTTGAATGTGTTTTCTACATGTATTGATAATCACATAATTTTTTAATGTGTTGATATGAATAATAGGATTGATTTTTGGTATTAAATCAACTTTGCATCTCTAAAATAAACTCTTGACCATAATGTATTTGTTTTGTTACACATTGTTGGATTCATTTTTTTAACATTTGGCTAAGAATTTTTGCTGTCTATGCTCATATGGGATATTAATCTGTAGTTTTCTTTTCATATATAAGTATTTAATCAGGGTAATGCTGGTCTCACAAAATGAGTTGGAAAATATTTCTTACTCTTCAGTTTTCTAGAAGAGCTTTTGTAGAATTGATATCATTTCTTCCTTAAATATTTGATAGAATTTACCTGTGAAATCTCCTGGAGATTTTTTGAGTTAAAACTCAAAGAAAATTTGAGTTTTAACTACAAATTCAAATTAAAAAAAAATTGTCAAATTCATTGGCATAAAGTTGTACATAATATTTCCTTATTTTCATTTTAATATCAGTAGAATCTATGTTGGAGTTCACATTTCTGATACTGGGAACTTGGGTCATTTTTCTTTCTTTTCTGATCAGGTTGGGTAGAGATTTTTATCATTTTTATCAATATTCCCAAGGAACTAGCCTTTTGTTAAACTGATTTTCTTATTATTCTGTTTTTATTACACTGATTTCTGCTTTCATTGTTGTACCCTTTCTTCTGTTTACTTTAGGCTTTAATTTGCTCTTTTTTATTTTTATTACCTTTTATTATTTTTTAAATTTTATTTTAACTGCTATATAGCTAACATAGTGTTAATTAGTTTCAGGTGTAAAATATAGTTATTCAATAATTCTATATATTGTATACTCAGTGCTCACCACGGTACGTGTATTCTTAAACCCCTTCCCCTATTTCACCCATTCCCCCTGCCCCATCTCCCTATCTCCCCTCTGATAACCATCAAGTTGTTCTCTATAGTTAGGTATTCTTTTTTGGTTTGTCTCATTTTTTCTTTGTTCATTTGTTTTGTTTCTTAAATTCCACATATTAATGATATCATATGGCATTTCTTTCTCTGACTTATGTCACTTAGCATTAGACTCTCTAGATCCATCTATGTTATTCCAAATGGCAAGATTTCATTCTTTTTTATGGATGAGTAATATTTCATTATATGTATATATACACAGCACATCTTCATCCATTATCTATTGATAGACATTTAGGCTGCATTCATAATTTGACTATTGTAAATAGTGCTACAATAAACACAGGGGTGCATATATCCTTTTGAACCAGTGTTTTTGTATTCTTTGGGTAAATATCCAGTAGTGAAATTACTAGATCATATGGTAGTTCTATTTTTAAATTTTTGAGGAAACTCTATAATGTTTTCCACAGTGGCTATTCCAGTTTGCTTTCCTGCCAACAGTGCAAGAGGATTTCTTTTTCTCCACATCCTTGCCAACATTTGCTGTTTCTTGTGGTTTTGATTTTAGCCATTCTGACAGGTGTGAGGTGATATCTCATTGTAGTTTTGTTTTGCATTTCCCTAATGATCACTGATGTTGAACATCTATTCATATTTGTTATCCATCTCGATGTCTTTGGAGAAATGTCTGTTCATGTCTTTTG